CAGGGGCTTGGCACTTGGGGTAGAGGAACGTTGATCTCTTCAGGCTCGTTAAGGACAATGCTCAACGTCTCACTGCGTTCGATAAAAGGCTTCATTAGATTGCAGTGATATATCGTCACATCATTGCGTTTACCGGGCGTCGTTACCAAGTAATTGGTGTCGGAGAGCTTTTGTTTAATCGTGACCGGCCCATCCCATGCTACTTCCAGTTTATTTGCCTTTGACGACCGCAGAATCAGCACTTTATCGCCTTCCTTGAAGGTTCGTGTGCGTGCGGATCTGTCGTAGTACACCTTTGAGCGTTGCTGCGCTTCTGCCATGTTTATCTGCGCCAGTTCTTGCGATTCACGTAGGCGCTTCAACAAGGTCAGCACGTACTCGACAACTGATTTGTCTACGAACTTGTCTTCCCACTTTTCTTTCAACAACGTTAGCGGGGAGCGAAGCGCTCGACCGTAAACAAGTTCCGCCGGCGTGAACCCAGTCGCTTCGTGAGTGACGGAGCGCAGAGCAAAGAGCATCGCGGGAACAGCTTCGTCCCAGTCGGCGCCTTTCTCGAAACAGAGTGCACGCAGAATGCGCTTCATTACAGAGTGAAGTTTCTCGACTGAATTACTTTGCGGATGGTAGACTGAGCTGTGGTGAACGGATATGCCGCATTTCTTCAAGAACGTCGTGGTGAGCGCGCTTGTGAACACAGAACCTTGGTCGCATTGGATTTCACTAGGAAATCCAATTCTTGCAAAGACACCGAGTAGCGCGTTTACAACTGCAGTGGAGCTTAATTCGGGTAATACCACTGCTTCCGGGAACTTCGTAGCAGGGCAAATGAGTGTTAGCAAGTATTTGTTGCCCGCCGCTGTTACTGGTAATGGACCTACAATGTCGACAACTAATCTGCGAAAGGGTTCGCCAATCAAAGGCACTTGGACCAAAGGTGCTTTGAGTTTTTCGTTTGGCCGCCCCGTCCTTTGGCAAACGTTGCAGGAACGTACCCAGTTCTCCGATTCTTTGAAGCACATCGGCCAGTAGTAGTCGTTCAATAACCTGCTCTTGGTCTTGTTGATACCTAAATGGCCAGCCCAGCTATCGCTGTGAACCAAACCCAAAAGTGCGACTCGATACTTTTTGGGAACGACAAGCTGTTCAAAGGTTCTGCCTTTCTTGTTTTTGAATATTCTGTACAAAATGCCTTCTTTGACTATGAGCGACACGGCTCCTTTTTGTTTCCGTTTTGATTTTTCCCAGCACGTCTTCAGCGACTCGTCGTTTGCCTGCTCCATTTTGAGAGCGCTTTTGTCTAACTTTGCTAGAAGCTGAAAATTTTCACTGACTGGGTTTATCGCTTCACCTGGGAGCGCATTACCGACGGGAGTGCTGCTATCGAAGGCTGGCGCGACACAATTGGTGTCGACAGGAACAGTTTCGCTTGGTGCAGTAGCTTGTGTCGGTTCACTCTGGTCTGTAATTTCCGTGTTACGGGTAGCGCTGGTAGCTTGAGCTCTTGTTTGGGACCTCGTGACGACCATTACAGGGTTAGCATTAAGTTCCAGTCCTGCATTTTGGAAGTCCCTCATTGATCGGTTAGAAAAAATGTAGGGAATTTTCTGAGGAAGTTTATCGGAAACCGCAGCATCAGTTTCGAATGTGCCGAAGGCGCCCTTCATTTCGACTCTGGCTACCGGCAAACACTTCATGTCTGGCTCTAGTGCCTGGCGTACCCATACACATGAACCTGTTAAGTTCTCGGGCTTAACAAATGACGGGTGGACGATATCAAATGTTGCTCCTGTGTCGCGCAGAACGTTGCAACTGATGCCGTTCACCTTCATGTCATATGTGTAGGGCAAGAGTAAATCGCTCTCTTCGGTTAGCAAATTGACGGAAACTGCTGGCTGTCGGCAACCGACTGCGATGTGACCCGGTTGTTGGCATTTATAGCAGACCAGCGGTTGTTTTTCTTCGAACTTGGAACTTTTCGGTTCACTCGCGTTGGCTGCATGCCCTTGGGCTGGAACACTGTCGCCTGGTTTCCCTTGGTTAGTTTCTTTCGTTCCTTTCTGAAATTTCTTGAACGCTCCTGACGGCTTCTTTCTTTGTTCTTCCGAACTTTCCATTCTACGGGAACGGTACTCGTCCGCCAAGCTGGCTGCCGTTTGCAAAGTCTCTACGTTTGGCTTGTCCTGAATCCACAGCCGCATTTGGTCCGGAATGGACGCATAAAACTGCTCGAGCGCAAACAGTTCAATCAGACGTTGCTTGTCCTCGTATGCGTTGGCACTCTTAAGCCATTCCTCTAACAAGCTCATGGATTTGTAGGCGAATTCTGAAAATGACTCCCCTTGGCCACGCCTCGTGTTACGGAACTTCATCCTCAAGGCTTCTGTTGACAAGCTGTACCTTCGCCTCAAATGAAGTTTCACTTTTTCGTAATCATGAGCATCTTCATCTGGCATTCTCGCGATTACATCGGCTGCCTCATTTGGAAGTAATGTCAACAGGCGTTGCGACCAAGTCTCTTTTGCAAGTGCAGCTCTTGTACACGTCCTCTCAAAGTTGACGAGATACAAAGTGATGTCACTGCCAGCCTTGAAAGGTTGCATGTATCCTCGCATATCGAAACTGTCATTGCGTTCAAGGTTATGCAGTTGCATCTCTTTTAACTTCAGTTCTACTTCTCGTTCTTTGAGCTTTTCCGAGACTGCCCTCCAACACTCCTCGACTTCGTCGTCGTTTGCTCCGCATTTGGATATCGCTTCGATAATTGCAGGCTTCCGCATAGACTTCTGTACAGGGATACCGAGCTCTTCAGCTAGCAGCACTAGGTTGGGTTTCGTTAACGACGTGAGGATCATGACTGCAGTTAACAAGTGCTACCCTGATATGTACTACTATTTAGCAAAGTCAACAACAAATACAAAAGAACCTCGACTACCAAGTAAATGCTGCTAATGCTCCCAATGAAGTCAAGCAAGCCGTGCTCTCACCAAACCGGACGCCAAGGCCGCCTTCGACGTGCGCTCCATACCGCCGCCACCGCTGCCACCAGCTGTTACGTATTCGGCGGCTGGACGACAGCCGGCCCAGGAAAGAGACGACTCAAGCAGTGCCAGGAAGACAATCCCAGTTTATTCACCTTGCGGCGCGTTTTTAAGCGCTACGCAGCCAATCGCAGGTTGGCACGAAAGAAAAGGAAACAGCAAGATAACAGCAATCGGGCAATGTTATCAGAAAGCCCCGACGTAGAAAGAGGGCGAGCACTGCAAACGTTACACCGAGCCGCCACCATCACCACCGCCACCTTGGCCGAGACGTCGGGTGAGGAATGGGAGTGGGAGGATCGCCTCACCAGTTTCAAAGATATTATCCAGCATTACAAATTGGCCAGGTGAAAATTTCTGCCACCACACCAAAAACTGAACAAAAGGCAGGCGGTCATGTGGGGACAGCTGTAGACCAAGATGTTTCCAAACCGGGTGATTTTAAATCTGTGTTTCCCAGAGCTTTATGCATCGCACTGAAAGTTTTGCGAGCCCAGGCCAACATTGGAACACATGCTATGGGAGTGTGGCAGATGTGGGGCTTCAGACGGGGACGCAGCCTCGAACCGAACGCGCTAGGAGAGTGCTCTGCTCAGCCATGCCATCGAAGACCAACTTTGGGTCGTCCAGCGGGCCGAGCCCATCGCCAGAGCTCAAGGGCTCGTGGTCGTTACCTAGGCGGGGATATCTGCCCAGATCCCTGAACAACTCGCCGTACGTTTTTTTTTTTTTAAATAAAGTTGCGTCTTTTTCTTTGAGCAGTGTTTCAGACAAAATCATGCGAACGCAACCGATGGGGTAGTCAAAGCAAGTTCAGGTGTTTGGTTTACAACTCCACTTAGGGCACCAACATAATTATGTATGATAGAATAAGATACGTTCACTCTGACACAACAAGTGGCATTGCTGTCCTTTTTGCACTGCAGTTGAAACCTCTAATAACGATATGTATACGCATCATGATAAGTTCATTATTATACGGGAAAACAAAGACTTGGCAAGAAGTAATACTAGCACTGCAGCTGGTGCCCCTACTGAGGACCGTGGATTGTGCCTGCTCATTTGCTCAGTGCGACATTAGGGAGCATGAATTTTGGCCTAGTATACTTCACTGACTGTAGTGACCAGTCCAGATGCTCCCATCGCGTGCATGAAGTATTGGCAGTCTGTTGAAAAACGGGAATTCACAGCTATTTTGTCTACACCGAGCAACAACTTATCTTGACATTAGAGTGAAGGCTACGAAGGTGGGGCTTTCGCAGAGAACTTATCTTGACATTGGAGCGAATGCTTTCGCACAGTCTTGTTGCTCCACAAGTAGTACTGCAGCTTGCGACTGATTTCGGTTTTGTGTGCTGGAATTGTTAATGCTTTTAGAAAATTGATACACAAGGAGCGTGAATGGGAGAAGCATTTCAGTAGTTTGTTGTATATTTTATTTTCATATTAAGATTATATTTTTTTTTTGAGAACTAAACAAGGCATTCGCGGTTGCATACTGACCCACTATGTCATGAATGCCATGTTTATTTTGTAAAACGGGCATGCTAAAAACGGTGTGCTGCGTAGAGAAAGAAAAGAAAGACTTTTTGGAAAGTGAATGACAACAGTATTTTACCTCTGGCTTCTCACAACAGTGTGAGTATCATGATAAATAAAGCAACATTCAATATCGAGTCCAGTGATAAAATTTTCAGTGAACTTGAGTACCATTTTTTTCAGCACGGTAGCATCTTCAGCACGGTAGCAGACATGTGCTTCAGTTTGTAGCCTCCACAGTGCTGTCATTAAAAGTTTTCACTGAGTTTAGTCTTTTCTTTCCTGGTAGCCTTCAGCAGGTGCTCACTGTCAGGAGATGAAAAAAAAAAAAAAAGCTGATGTGCATGAAGTGCACACCTATAACAGCTATCAGCTGAGATAAGACTGTGAGTGTTCATTTTGTCATTTGTGTAACTGCAGGAAGTACATGGGTGGGGCCAGCATCTTTGACAAGTTTCCCGAGAAGTTGCGGACTCAACTGGAGCTGAGCGATGTGCCAGACAATGCCCTGTTTGTGCTCCTCTCTGACGTATGGCTAGACCAGCCTCAGGTGGGTTAAGTGGCTTTCCTTTTTTGGCATTTCAAATATACAGTAAAAGCAAACATATATGTGCCATTTTTCACTTATACATTTTCTTGTAACATTTAATGTTTCTGGTGGAGCTTTGTGAATAGAAAAAATTAGTTGCAAGGCAAATTCGAATGTTGGAAGTGTGAGTGTCAATCAAGATGACTAATTTTAGAATATTTCTGAAATATCTCGGAATGTTTTTCAAGTAGCACATCGAAGTAAAATTCCAAAAAATAAAAAGTTGAAGAGGATGGTTAGGCATTTTCTCGTGAGATAGCAATATGAAAGTATTTCTTTCGGCCTAGTTCATGAAGGGCTGATGGGGGTCATGTTTCATAGTTGTTCAATCAAGAATGGGGCGATGCAAATGCTGAATTGTATTTAGGCACACAATTTGGTGCAACCAAAGTCTTGCCCAAATTTCAGGTCCAAAACAGCATTGATTGAGCCCTCACTTCTGCCACATCTGTCATCTCCATGTTGGAACCAGCGTTTTCTGGAGCTTTTTGTGATTTTAACAGAGCGTGAAAGGCAGCTTTGCCACAATACGAGAATGTGAGGGATTGGGGGGTGACGCATATTGAAAAATTTGAAAGTACGAACAGCCCAGCCTAAAAATAGTTGCAGCGTAACTACGGAGGCAAAGAAACAAGGATAGAAAAGAGTGCTGACTTTCAACAATGGTAATAGCGGAGTTGTGTATATATATATATATATATATATATATATATATATATATATATATAAAGAAGACACACGTCGAAAAATGGAAAGGTTTCTTTACGTTTCGGCCGTGGGACCGGCCTTCGTCAGAATAACAGATGTAACAGTGGTACAACAGCATATAAGCGCATACGTTTCGCTTGCAATAATCGCGTGAGTGCAAACATCATAAAAACAAGTACAACAATCAGACATGAAATCTATATGGGGGGCCCCCGTATCACATCCTACTTATAAGCAATCAAATAACAAGTCACGACACGTGCAGCACAAGGATTACAGCTGGTACAAGCAATAATATCTACAGCGGTCACTGGTGCAAGACGCTGAGTTTCCCCATACTCTCATTTAAACCACCTGCGATTGTATTGAACTTAAAGATGAGAAATGATTCGCGCACTTCCCTGTCATGATGCGTTCGGAAGCCAGACTCCAGAATCGTGGCTCTAATGTGTTCAAATGAGTGGCCCATTGCGTTAGCATGCTTTGATATTGGAAGGTGAGGAAGGTTCTTTATATATATATATATATATATATATATATATATATATATATATATATATATATATATATATATATATATATATATATATGCGAAAAAAGAAGAGAATAGGCATGCGTAGAAGGGTGCATTTTAGGACCACTACGATACAATGTCAGCAGAACTCTGGTCTCTTATTGATTGAGCTGGAAACAAATACGTAAGCTCAATCAACAAGAGACAAGAGAGAGGGGGGGGGGGGCAGGTGGGCAGGCAAGCGGGCGAGCAAGCGGGCAAGTGGGCAAGTGGACGGGCGGCATAGTACGCTTTTACACGAATGGTTGTTTTTAGCAATATTACTTTTAGGGGCAAAGCTCCTTAGGGTGTGGGTTTGTCCATCCTCTGATGGTGTATGTAGCTACCGGTGGCACATATCCCGAAAGTGCGGTCCTTAGAATGTCCGCTGGATGGCGGCAGTTGTATATGATGAATACATGAAAAGATGTGAGATGGCTTTACTTGGAGTGTTCACTAGATATATGGACAGACGGATAGATGGACATACAGATACACGGACGGACTGACCGATGCACGACATAGTTGCGAACGCAGGATGACAGGACAAAAGGGGACGGCCGCCCGAAACAAATCTTGGACTTCTCGGACGACGGATGCGTGGATGGACGGAAGCAAGAAAAAATGGGCGGGCTGACTGACGAACGCCCCACCAATCATCATTCACTTCGTGGATATGCTGTGATTTTTTTTTGCACTTGAATGTCTTCAGAGATAACTTAGGGAGTGTCAGTGCTTGGTAATATTATTGTATAATAAATTTATAAGTAATATTAACCATGCTGATATTATGAGGAACGTCGTAAAGGGTGGTTCCAGAAATTTACATTAACTGGGCCTCAAGCATATGCACCTTCGAAATTGTGGCCTTGGTGGCCGGGATTTCATTCCAACTCGCGACCTCTGTATTAGAGGGTCAGCGCTGTAACCACTACAAAAACGTGGCGTAGCCAGGGGGGGGGGGATGGGGGGGGGTTCAACCCTCACCCCCTCATCGAAATTTTTCGCGCAACCAACTCCCTCTCCACGCCACTTACCAACCTTTTTTTTTGTTGCTTCGCGCTGACATGATTTAGAAACTAAGCAGTGCAACTATCACAAGTAATTCCTGGGCACTTTTACAGTGAATAATGTCTGCATGCGAAAAAATGTGTTGCAGTGTTTGCCAAGGCTTTGAAACTTTTTTTTTTAATGAAAAAAAAAAATGTGTATGATACAGAAGCAGGTCCCAAAGTGAAAACTCTCAGGGGGACCTCCTGTTAGAACAAGTGCAAAATCGTAAACAAAGATTGACAACTAAGAAACCGTAAGAAACTATTTCAGCATAACAAACTAGCACTTATTTATATATTTATTAGGGATATACATACATATTGAGCATACACACATAAATATAAATATATTTCAACCAATACATATACAAATGCACAAATACGATCAGGTGATGCATGTGGTCAGTAAAAATTGTTTGAGTGCACGCCGGAAATGTAATGAAGGGCTTGATTTAATTGTTGATGGAAGTGAGTATGTGGATGCCAAAAGCAATATTCTTGATGACAGAGTTTGTATGAAAGTTAAATTTAAGGTGACAATCTAATATTACACCTAGAAAAGTAACAAACTTTGATGTTGTAATGATGCAGTTATCTATGTGTATTTCCGGATTTATTGTCGTTTATTTTTATGTGAGTGAAATAGTATAAAAGTTGTTTTAATAGGGTTGAGTTTCAATAAGTTGTTATTGCACCGTGAAACAAGATTCCTGACATCTGTGCTTAATTTTGATAGCAGATTGGTGAGATCTTTGTCACTGGAAAATATTGTAGTATCATCAGCATAAAGGGTGCAGTCAGAAAAAGTAACTGATGATGGTAATTCATTAATGTAGATGAGAAATAAGAGATGTCTCGAAATTGAGCATTGTATAACTCCCTAGTTTGTTGTTATTGAAGAAGATAAAACACCGCAGCAGTTCACAACTTGGGTCCTGTTAGCGAGGTAGCTTTGCAGGGATTCAAGTTTAGCAAACAAGATAGAGTGGTTAATGATAACAAGTGCTTTAATTAAGTCAATAAATACTGCCTCTGCCCATAGACATTTATTGGTAAACTGTTTTAAGCTATCAGTTTTATTTGTGCTAATTCAGTAGACAGCTTAGCACGAAAACCAAGCTGCTTAGGTGACAAAAAATTAAGTTTTATTAGGTAGTCCGTAAGGGGTATAATAATGAGCCTCTTAATAACTTTACTAAATAATGGGAGGATTGTTATTTGGCGATAATTAGAAAAAACGTTTTGCTCTCTCTTTTTAAATACAGGTGTTACCTTTCCTTGTTTGAGGATAGTAGGAAAAACACCGCAACAAAATGCGTTGTTGGTAAGATCTGAAAGCACGAATGATAAATCGGGGGCAACAAGTTTGATGTTGGAAAGTTAAATTGAAACTAGGCCAAATCCTGTTGTCATCAAACTTTTTATAGTGCATAGAACTTCATCAGGTGATGTGGGTTTCGAGAAAGAAGAGTGAGACAAGTGAGGCAATGAAGGCAAAATAGTGACAGTCGTTATATAGTTGTTGAAAAATTATTCATTAAATGAACAGTGTTGTGATAACTTTGCAGACAGCGATGAGGTTGGTTATAGTGCTGGAGCTGTCCAAAAATTTTGTTGTAAGTGTGTTTGGCTGATCAAGATGTTAAAATTCTTTAATTATGCTCCAGTTTTTGTACTGTCATACCCATTTTCAAGCACTGTAGTCTGTTAGTAGGTTCGTTTAGCTTTTGCAAGTAGGACAGTAAGGGTTTGTGAATACACTTTAAAGCGGGCTGGAAAAGACAAGTTGAATGCAGCCTAAATTTTTTGTAAAGTTTGTCTTTTTTGTTTATGCTGGGCAGCAGTTCTCTCTTAATCCACGGGTTTCTAGGAGCTGAGTACCAATGTGGTATGATGGATACAGACATACATGAGTTTATGAAACCTGCAAGTTTCTCGGTCAAGGCATTGAACGCTTTGTTGATGAAAAGATCTTGTGATGACTCCTCCCAGTTAGAGCACAATACCGTATCAACAAGCTTTCAGTAGCACACTTATCGACCATTTTAGTTTTGTTATTAGTTTGCATATTTAATAGCAGAAGAATTGTATAATGGTCTGTCTAATTGAAATTGACCACACCGGCCTTTTGAACAGGCGTTACATTACTGAATATATGTTCGATAAGTGTGTTTCGGATGGAACAAACACATCGTGTCGGAGAATCCAGGAGAAATTTTAAACCATGCCCCATGAAACAGTTGGAGTATTGAACAGAAGAGGTATCCTTAATACAGTCGAACACGGATATATCAAACCTACATATATAGAATTTTCCGGTATATTGAACTCGTAAGTTATCCCCTTGAAGTTTCTTTGTAAAAAGATAGAAATTCGCACGTTCATATCGAGGTGTATTTTTACCCGATTTTGGATATATGAAACGGTGCGCGCGCTGGAAGGTGCACTTGGGCAGCTCGCAGGGCCCGGCGACCTTCGCAGCAGCACGCCTCCGCCAAAACCCGAAACGCTCGAAAAACGGTAAGGGCAAAATGGCTCGGACTGCACAATCTCTAACTTGTGGCACGGCTTTGTTTTTTTTTTCCCGTTTCTTTCTCGCATGATTTCTCCGCGTACCTGTCGGCACAGAGAACAAGAACGAAGGAGCG